TGCTCCAGAGCAGATGAGGAACTAATTAGATGTGCCCTGCGGCACCTTGAGGTTACTTCAGATATTCGTCCAGACTGTTGGTTATTGAAGTGGTGCTGGAGGAGGGAGCCCGAAGCAGGAGTGGGCATTGTATTTTCCTCTCCTTTGTCTAATCTCCCTCCTCTCTTCTTCTGTGTATGATATCTCGTCTCATTCTGTCTGGACACGATCGTGATTATTGGTACTCGTCAACTGTTGACATTTCTCTGGACTTGCATTGTTGATAACTGTTCTCACGATTTGGGTTCATTACACCCACTTCTCTCTCTCACTTAGCGCTGCTCGCAGCCTAGCGCAGCTCACACACATTTGGCGCACAAGTGCCACGACACTTCCACACTCTCATGCGAAATGAGCATCTGCCCAATGAAGAGGCTGGCCAGTGTTTGGGACTGGTCAGGCGAGGTCTGGATTTGGCCTCCAAGTGTTTGGGACTCCTGCCTAGTACCTGTTGTTGCAAAGTGTGTGTCCCAGTATCTTTTCCCATGGTCTGCTCCTACTTTGGGCCGTCGGGCCTGTCTCTTGGTCTCCTAGTCTGAATCAGGACTGACCCGTGGGACTGTGATTGGACTGGGACTGTGACCTTTGACTTATTGCCGAACAGACATGACCCTAACTCAGTCTTGAAATCTGTGCCCAATACTTGTTCGTGACTGTTCAGAACGACTTTTCATTTAATTACGGATGTGACATTTGCCTTAGGAACTTGTCTTTTGGAATATTGCTCGTGAAATTGAGTTCAAGCCGAGCAGGCCCCTTTTATGTTGGGGTCACATTTACAGGTCTGAATCGTAAAGGCCCTTTTACTGAATTCTCCCGATTAAATTTTATGAAATTATTTAATTAAATATTCTGACTAAATGTTTAATCTTATTTAAACGTTATTCAATTTTGTTTTTGCAAATTTAAGTATTTTACTATTCTTTAATTAAATATTTATTTTTTGCCAAATTAAAATTTGATTTAATTAATTGTATTTTTCCTGATTAAATTTACTAAATTAAATCATTAAATATTTAATATTAATTTTTTAAAATTTATTTTTTTTCGTGGGGGGGAAAACATGTTCTTGATTAGCGTCAAGTCCGAGGTCAAGGCAGGAAGGGATTGTCTGTGAATTGCTTGCCTCCCTCCCTTCGTCCCACCCCTGTTTTCTCTCCCCTCCTCTCGGTACTACGGACTTCAGCCTCCGGACACGTCAGCAATGTGACACGTCAGCAACAACGCGGAGTCGGGACTGCTAGATGCGCTTTAGCCAACGACTTGCTGAATAAGGATCCAAGGGAACTCAGCCCCAGTAGGGCCCCAAGACATCTCGGATCCCGCGGAAACGATGCACGACCATGGCCGCTACCGCTGACACCAATTCACAAGCGAGCCCCGCAAGGCCGGTTACTCCTATGCCAGTTCAGCAGGAAGATGAAACGTAACTAGCGTTTCTCGAATGTCTCCAGCTATACTCGGAGACTACTGCAGCTGAACTTCGCAAGTGGGAACAAGAAGAAGCCGCCCGCCAGCAGGTGATCCAATGACAGCTGGCAAAAGCCGAGGCAGCGCATCAGCAGGCCGCAGCAGAAGTTGCAGCAGCCGCACGGTTACAGCAACAGCAGACGGAGGCAAGTCAGAATCAAGTTCGTTACCAAGCCACAATGGAGCTCGCCAACGAAGAAGCCACGTATTGGAGGGTACTTCGACAACAGCAGTACTGATGGAAACGAAGAACAAGAACAAGAGGAGCTGACCGAGGAATAGAGAAGCAAGGAGGCAATAGCAGTACTGATGGAAAACGTGTTGTACACGTGCAATTGGCAGCAACGCAAACTGCTGGCCATGCGGCAAATCTTCATCCACTACGAAACAAGTTTTTGGACGCTGGAACAGAAGATCGCCGCCTTGCAGACCGCGAACAGCGACCAGCAAGCCATCAACGACCAGCTGCAGACCACTGTGAGCACAGGGTTGGCACGACTGTCTGCAGTTGAGTCGACGACCAGTGCAGTGGCAGACTGCAGCCCAGCTTTGGCCGGTCAAGCCAAACAACTCGAAGAGCGGATCAACCACGTAGTCGCAACCCTTGGCGACATCAACAAGTTCGTCGGGACGTCTACGGCCAGCAATCAGCTGCAAACACTCAACGACCGCGTTCAACAATGAACGGCCACCGTCGTCAAGGAATGGAAGATGTCGAACTTCGAGATTGAGAAGTTCGACGACTACCACAAGACTGATCCGCTGCAATGGTGGATGGCATTCAACGCAGAGGTGGACGTACATCACGTCCCACCACTGCAGCGGCTTGACGCTCTCAACCTCCAGCTCATCGGAGGGGCACAAGCATTCATGACTCACATGGCCGTGATGTTGGAATGCACCATCGCCACCCTCCACACCAAGATCGCTTGGGAGGACTTCAAGAAGAAATGAAAGACCCGGTTCATGGTCAACAACGACAAGCGTCACACATTGAACAAGATCTTCCGCATGTTTCAGGGCCAACAACCATCACGGGAATGGCTGACGGAGTGGCCAAGACTCGTCGCCACCTCGGAGTTTAACCTGCCGTTCGACTCAATCCGGGCCGAGTTCTTCGCCCGGTCTTGCGACGCCTTGACAGCTGCTCTTGGCAGCGAATTGCAGTCGGACACCGTTGATGCGATGATCTCAAAGGCAAAGGAACTCATATAAGGTAACCGGCGCGCGGCCAATGAGGCCCACCAACAGCCCGGTTACGTGGAGATGTGGCGGCAGCGATACCACCGCAACGCTCAAGACCCCGTGGGGGAAAACATAAGGTGAAAACAGCGTCGGTGGATGGAGCGAGACAGTCACCATGGACAAAGTTCGGGATCACCGAAGACATGTTCAAGTTACGACAGAAATGGGGATGTTGTTTATGGTGCAACAACACCAAACACATCACCGGTTCGTGCCAAGACAAGGACAAAAAGAATGTCAAGCGTCCAAGCTCAGGAAACTAAGCACCGCGGGAACTGCAGCGACATCATTTTCCAGTCTGACGGACTCGGCTGCCTTGCTAGCAGTCTCTCTCACGTCCGGGGATGACGCGGTAGTAGCAAGTTCTCGGATTGACTTCGAGAACTATGTTGTCCAGCTGGTCCCGCCATTGAACCAGCCTCTCCACCTGCAAGATTCAAGCGCATGCATGGTGTTACCGCCGTCGGACAACGAACCGGTTGCTTCGCCAGCTCTTCCATCGGAGGATCCGTCAACTTGGGCGAGTCTTGAGGAACTCGACCCGTTGACGGTTGAGGACTTCAAATGGTTGCCTCTTCCCTCCACCGGTTCTTTGCCAACACCGCATTGCAACGCCTTGATGGCACATTTGCTCGAATACTTGCACGCTGCAGTACCACCTCCATCGACGGACGACGGAGTAGTGGTTATTGACCTTCGTAGCTATCTTGCGAAGATCGACCGCGAGCACGCAACGCAACGGTACGTCGACATCGATGCGCCGCTCCTCTACATCCGCATTCAGATTGAAAAGGCGACCTGCAGTGCCTTGATCGATTGTGGAGCATCTCGCAACTACATAAGCCAAGACTTCATGGCACGCGCCGGGCTAGGCCCGTGCGTTCGAAGGAAAAGTCAGCCTACACACTTTAGTTGGGCGATGGTCACACACAAAAGTCAATCGACCGTTGCGTTGACTCCGTGCCCGTGTACTTTGCCCCACTAGCATGCGAGGCCGTGTCATTCGACATATTGGACACTAAGTTCGACATGATCTTAGGCATGTCATGGCTGCAAAGCGAAGACCATCCGGTGAACTTTATCAACGCACCGTTCACGTTCGTGATCGGTGTGGCGAACTAGTCTCGTGTACGGTGCCGCTTCCTCATCCTTCGATTGGTTGTCACGTGGTCTCCGCAGCGAGCATTCGCCAATCCATCCGGCAGAACGACATCTAGGAGATGGGCATATGTTTTCTTAACGCCCTCCCACCCGGTGGTCAGCCCAAGACGGACACATCGGACCCATGCATCATTGAGCTTTTTGGACAGCTATGACGATGTCTTCCAAGCTCCTGCCGGAGTCGTAACGGATCGTCCCATACGCCACGGGATCACTCTCGAGGACGGCGTCGTACCTCCGCGCGGATGTATTTACCGCATGAGCGAAGAGGAGCTTCAAGTGCTTCGGGCAGAACTAGACGACCTCTTGGCCAAGGGTTGGATTCGCCCTAGCTGTTCGCCATACGGTGCTCCCGTTCTCTTCGTTCGGAAGAAGAACAAGGACCTTCGTTTGTGTATCGACTATCAGAAACTTAACGCGCAAACGATCAAGAACGTCGCCCCTCTCCCGCGGATCGATGATCTTTTCGAGCGACTAGGCGGCGCCAAGTACTTCTCAAAACTTGACCTCAAATCCGGCTATCACCAGATCGAGATCCAGCCAAGAGATCGGTACAAGATCGCGTTCAAGACGTGGTATGGGCACTTTGAGTGGATCGTCAGGCCTTTCGGTCTCACAAATGCCCGGACTACTTTCCAAGCGGCTATGACAACGGAATTCCGCGACTTGCTCGACTGCACCGTACGCATTTACCTTGATGATATCTTGGTTTATAGTCCGGTCATTGGACGAGCACCTCGAGCACCTTCGCACCGTTTGGGAGCGGCTTCGTATCGCCAAGTACAAGGCAGACTGCGACAAGTGCGAGTTTGGCCAGCAAGAGCTGGAGTACTTTGGCCATTACGTTACGCCGCGAGGCATTCGTCCGCTCGCGGACAAAGTACAAGCCATTCAAGATTGGTTGGACCTCAAGTGTACTACCGACGTCCGTTCCTTTCTCGGCTTAGCATCATACTACACGCGCTTCGTCAAGAGCGTCGAACAGATCGCTGCACCATTGTCGTGACTTCAGTCCCCCTTGGTGCCCTTCGAGTTCAACGACGAAGTCGGGCACACGTTCCATACGCTGAAGATGACTTTGCTTCAATACCCCGTCTTAAGCATCTATGAACTGACCTTGCCAACCAAAGTGACTACGGATGCTTCCGGCTACGACATTGGTGCGGTTTTGGAACAGCATGACGGCACAGACTAGCATCCGGTTGAGTACTTCAGCCAAAAGGTGTCGCCCATCAATTCCCTTGATGATGCGAGGAAGAAGGAACTGCTAGCTTTCATCACGGTACTTAAGCGTTGGCATCACTTTCTTCTCGGGCGTCGGCGATTCACGTGGGCAACGGACAACAATCCGTCGACTTATTACAAGACGCAAAACACGATGAGCAGCACAATAGGTCGCTGGATGTATTGCATTGACCAGTTCGACTTCACCTCCAAGCATATTCCGAGCCCCTCGAACAAGGCAGCGGATGCTCTCTTGCGAAGACCAGATCTTTGCGCCTTGGTGCACTCCTCATTCGGCCTCGACGAGGACCTGCAACAGCATTTCATAAACGGCTACAAGTTGGATCCGGGATTCTCCACACTCTATGTGGATTTATCATTGGATCACCCACCAGCAAGCAATTATCGCATCACCGACGACCACTTGCTCCTCCGTACGCGAGGCAAGGACTTGTTGTGTGTTCCCCAAGACCGCATCTTGCACACTCGCCTCCTTGGCGAATACCACGATTCGCGACTGGCAGGACACCTTGGCGTTGCACGCACACTTGCACGACTCCGCCAGCGTTTCCACTGGCCGGACATCATCTGCGACGCCAATCGGTACATTCAGTCATGTGCAGTTGCCACCGGAACAAAGGGCGCCATCAGCTCCTGTACGGCGAACTGAAACCATTGTCGATTCCTCGGGAAGCAGGTCTCTCCATTGCCATGGATGTGACCGTTTGAGCAAGTACGCTCGTTTTCTTCCATGCAAGTATCATGCGACAGCTCCCGAGCTCGCACGACTTTTGCATACTGGCTGGTTTTGCAGCCACGGCGTTCCGGAAGACATCGTCAGCGAGCGCGACACTCGTTTCATGTCAGCCTTTTGGACGACACTCGTGATGGAATCCGGCACCAGCATGAAACCGAGTTTCGCACGACATCCTCAAACGAATGTGCAAACGGAACGTGCGCACTAGACTGCGCAGATGATGCTTCACACACTCATCCGCTCGGATCAGAAGGATTAGGTTGACCGCCTTCCCGACGTCGAGTTCGCCTACAACACTTCGGTGCACCCGACGATCGGTGTGACTCCATTCGAGTTGCATCACGGTGGACGGAAAGGCCGTATCTTCGCAGACAATTTGCTTCCACGGGCTGCCGATATCGACGCCGCTTGCTCCCCCGCTTCTACACGGAAGTATAGGGATCTGCTGGCCAAGCTCGCACAAATATGCAAAAGGCTCAGGTCTGAATGCAGCAGCAAGTGAACCGGCGTCGCATCCCATGTCCAATCCGCGCTGGCGACCTTGTTTGGGTCACCTCCAAGGAATTCGCGCTCGAGCAGCATGTCTTGCGCAAGCTCCTCCCTAAGTGGTTTGGGCCATGGAAGGTCACTTGAGCAGCTGGCGACGACCCCACGGGTCCCTCTTTCGTAATCGAGATTCCCCCTTATTTGACGGTCCACCCTGTATTTCACGCTTCAAAGCTGGCGGTCTACACTCCAGCCGCACGAATGGAATTTCCAGGCAGACGGTCCCACGACCCTCCTTCAATGGACGGTCACCAGGAGGTCGACGGTGTCCTCGCTCATCGCAAGCACGGCAACAAGTCGATGCAGTACAAAGTTACATTCAAGCAATGCGATCCTGACGACACACGCTGGATTTCACGAGCAACCTGAAGGCGACAGCACCCCTCATCTTCACGCATTACGAAAAACGGTGACTGGCCAAGGAAGCTGCCCAACCCGCCCGCCCCGCACGGACAGCGGACAGACAGCTTCGCCCTCGCAGTTAGCTCGGTCTTCAAGGGGGGGAGTGTGTGGCATATTGATACCACACAGGGCCCAGTTAGGGCTCAGTTCTGTAGTAGGCACGGGTTAGGCCTAGGTACCGGGTCATGGCAGTCCCAGCCAGGTCCAGGTAGGCCTAGGAACCATCGGTTCAGTTTAGAGTCCGGTAGGCCTCGTTTAGACCCCACCAGACCCAACGGCTAGTTGGATAGGCCAGGTACCAGTCCATCGGTAGGACTGGCCGGCGGCGCAGTTTAGGCGCCACTTTTCAGATTTCGAAATCGGATCTGAACCGTTGGGCCTGATCAACGGGTCCAGACCCGAAGGCACCAGTGGTACTGAGGCCGACCCAGCACTATATGAGCTGGGTACCAGCCTCAGTCGCTAGGTTGGTCTACAGTTGGTCTGGAGGTTCGGCTACCAGTTAGTCTACAGATTAGCGCAGCATTTCAGCGTTGGGAAGCGCAGAGCAGCAGAGAGATTAGAGCAGCAGCGAGGAGAAACAGCGCAGCAGTGAGTTAGCGCAGCAGCAGGAGCAGTGCCGGCCCTCTGGCCCAGCCCCCGGCCCAGCGCCCAGCCCTGCCGCGCCATAGCTGCGTTGCCAGGTACCAGGGAGAAGGGCTTCGCCTTTCCTCCCTCTTCTTCCGCCTCCGCTCTCTCTCTCTCTCTCTCTCTCTCTCTCTCTCTCTCTCTCTCTCTCTCTCTCTCTCTCTCTCTCTCTCTCTCTCTCTCTCTCTCTCTCTCTCTCTCTCTCTCTCTCTCTCTCTCTCTCTCTCTCTCTCTCTCCTCCCTAGTCCAAGTCTACTCTCGGGTTACCCCTACTGGACTACTACGACTGTGAAGGATGGTTACAAGTTCTGATGATACTAGAGATAGCGACATTGAGACTGCAGGTTGAGGACTACTTTGGGATCTGACTTCATCTACCTCTAAGGATGTGCCTGACATTGTGAGGTCGTTATCTGAGACACTGAGAGACTGTGTATTCGCGACATTTCGGATTTTTGCTACCTCTGGCATTTCGAGATACTATTTTTGGAAACATTGAGTTGACGTCAGCTTCCCTCTCCTCCTCCCTTCGTCTCTCCTCCCCCTCCATTCATCCGTGTATGAGATCAGCCCCTGGCCTCCTCTTCCATGTTCAAGGCCAGGGCTTTCACACCACCGATGCATGTTTGTGAGAGATTCGTTGCAGTCTGAGTCAGGTCTGAGTCAGTCCATGTGTATCAAGTCTTCCGCTGTATTTGTATTTACTCTGTATTATCTGGTCGGTTCTGGGGATCTGCCCCATACTTATGACTGTGTTTCACGAGTATGCAACAATTAGTTCATCTCTTGTAAACCAGCAAAGGTTCCTGATAGGCAAATCTTACCTTATACTGTTGCTGTTGCCTACCCCTGCGGCCAGATCTGTAAACATCGTCCCCAACAATCCGGCCTACATCATACTTTCCATCATAGTTGCGGCGCACCTCGGTGCGCGGATTTGCGCACGAATTGCCCACCGCACAGTGCACCGAAGCGCAGCACACTGGAAAAATTAGGTAAAAAAAAAAAGAAAAAAAAGTAAAGGTTTTGTAATTTCTTAGAGCCCCCAACTCGGCAAAAATGTTAAAGTCACCGCTTGAGCCGCGCCCCTGGCCCGAATTTTTGTTTCGGGTAAGGGCTGCCGAATTCTGATTTCCGCAGGCCCATGCCCTAAAAGTTTCAGAATGGCGAGACATAAAATCGGTGCGAGGCATAAGGCCCCGACGAGCCCTTTTTTGGCCCTGTAAGCAGCACTGTCGGTTGCCCTAAGTGAAGGCGGGCTCGACCAAGGCCAAGAGGCCTATTTTCCGGCCACCAAGCAACTGGGGAAATTCAGGCAGTTGCGCAGCGCCAGTTGGTTGAGAGTGCCCAGGCCCTGGCTGCCTTTTTTGTACGTAACCGAGGCAGGCCCTTGGCCAGATACACCATATGGGCCGAACACAGGCCTGGGCCAGATACACCATATGGGCCGAACACAGGCTGCGGGCAGTTGGGCACAGGCAACCGTCACAGGCCCTGGGCCTGATTCGTTTGGACTGGGGCTCAGCCTCTCAGGGCCAACCGGAAGCTTCTGGGCAGGGGCCCAGCGCAGCCAGGCAACACGCAGCAGGCAGGCCACTTCCATTTAGGAAAGTGCCTGCCCTCTCATTTGGATTGGGGCAGTGGCTGCATGCTGCGCTAATCGCTGGCCTGGCCCACGGGCGAGCAGGGAGAGCAGGCAGCCGTAGCCGAGCTGCGCTGCGCTGAGCTGGATGGGGCGCATGGTGGTGCTTGGGTGCATGTGGCATCTGTGAGTGGGGGATCAAGGTTGTGAGTGATACGAGAGACATACCTGGTGCTTGAGGCGACCGAGATCTGCTCGTACTTCGGGGAGCTGTTGACGTCACCAGCGGCATTGTAGATAGGCTAGATAGGATCTGCCATTTGTAGTCTGGGCGCAGAGCGCCAGATGGGATGTCGACATTGGTTCTTTGTTGATGATGATSAGACTATTCGAACATTGTCACTTGTGAGCTTTTGCTGTGCTCTTATTTGGTGGAACTCTTGTTGCAATTCTGCTTTTGGTTCGAGGTCACGACTATCTGGATTCATGTGTATGATGCTGCTTGGTTTCTGGAGTTCTCTATCGCTCATTTTCCTTGAATAGGGCTCATTCCAACTTTTTTTTTAGGCGGAGTATGGAAGCTGTCCTTCCCGCTCCCTTCTGCAAATCCCACACAGTGGTGGGGTAAGTTTGCAAGAAGGG